ATGAAAGCAAGATTGAAACAAGGAAAGGAATCATGAAGGTGTTCCGTGGAGCGATTTAGGTGTTGAAAGGTGAAAAGATAGCTGCAAAATTGTACATGCTGAAGGGAGAAACTTTGCTAGAAGCAGAAGCCTCTGTTGCCTCATGTAGTTCAGATTCTGCAATGCTATGGCATCAGAAACTTGGACACATGTCAGAACAAGGAATGAAAGTCCTTGTGGAGCAAAAGCTACTTTCAGGCTTAACAAAGGTATCACTTACTTTGTGTGAGCATTGCATAACAAGTAAGCAACACCGGTTGAAATTCAACACATCAAATTCTAGAGGTAAAAGTGTTCTAGAATTGGTTCACTCTGACGTATGGCAAACACCAGTTACATCCGTAGGCGGAGCAAAATATTTTGTCTCATTTATTGATGACTACTCTAGGAGATGTTGGGTGTACCCTATTAAGAAAAAGTCAGATGTGTTTTTCACTTTCAAAAACTTCAAAGCGCGGGTGGAACTTGATTCTGGAAATAAGATCAAGTGTTTCAGAACATATAATGGAGGAGAATACACAAGCGAAGAATTTGATGAATTTTGCAGGAAAGAATGCATCAAAAGACAGTTCACAGTGGCGAACACTCCTCAACAAAATGGAGTGGCAGAGCGGATGAACAGAACCTTGTTAGAAAGCACAAGAGCAATGTTGAGGGATACAGGCCTAGAAAAATCATTTTGGGCAGAATTAGTTAATACCGCTTGTTATTTGGTGAATCAAGCTCCATCAACTGCAATAGAACTGAAGACACTAATGGAGATGTGGACTGGTAAACCAACTGATTATTCAAACCTCCATGTATTTGGAAGTATTGTGTACATGATGTACAACTCCCAAAAAATTTCAAAGCTGGATCCAAAATCCAAGAAATGAAAATTCTTGGGGTATGCTGATGGTGTAAAGGGGTATCGCTTGTGGGATCCCACTGCCCGCAAAGTGATCATCAGCAGGGATGTTATCTTTGTAGAAGATAATCTACAAAGAAAAGAAGACGATGATAGCGCTGAAAAGTCAGAGACTACACATATACATGTGGAAAAGGAGGTTGAACAAGGAGATTCTTCTGAAGCAGAACCGGAACATGATGAACAAGAACCAAAGAGTTATGAAGCTCCAAAAACTCGTCAATCAGATCATGTGAGAAGACATCCCAATTGGCACTCAGATTATATTATAGAAGGTAATATTGCATACTGCCTGTTAACAGAGGACGGTGAGCCATCAACATACCAGGAGGCAATAAACAACTCAGATGCTTTACTGTGGATGATGGTGATGCAAGAAGAAATTGAAGTCCTTCATAAAAATAATACATGAGACCTTGTGCTTCTACCACAAGGAAGGAAGTCAATTAGAAACAAACGGGTCTTCAAAATCAAGCGAAATGGCGACGATCAAGTTGAGAGGTATCGTGCAAGACTTGTGGTCAAAGGATATGCTCAAAAAGAAGGTATTGATTTCAATGAAATCTTTTCTCATGTGGTTCGACTAACAACAGTTCGAGTAGTCTTGGCAATGTGTGCTACATTGAACTTAAATCTAGAGCAACTAGATGTTAAAACAACTTTTCTTCATGGAAATCTTGAAGAAGAGATTTATATGCTCCAGCCTGAAGGTTTTGAAGAAAAAGAAAAGAAGAACTTGGTTTGCAGGTTGAACAAATCTCTGTACGGTCTAAAGCATGCATCGAGGTGTTGGTATAAGAGATTTGATTCCTTCATTATGTGCCTTGGATACAACAGACTTAATGCAGACCCTTGTGCTTATTTCAAGAGGTCTGGTGATAACGATTTTGTTATATTGTTGTTGTATGTGGATGACATGTTGGTTGCAGGACTCAACAAAGATCATATTGAAGAATTGAAGTCACAACTGGCTAGGGAATTTGAAATGAAGGACTTGGGATCAGCAAACAAGATTCTAGGGATGCAAATTCACCGAGATAGAAGTAATAGGAAGATTTGGTTTTCACAAAAGAATTACTTGAAGAAGATCTTGTCACGATTCAACATGTAAGATTGTAAGCCAATTTCTACCCCTCTTCCTATTAACTTCAAATTATCCTCCAGTATGAGTCCTAGCAGTGAAGAAGAGAGAATGAAGATGTCTCGAGTGTCATATGCATCGTCAGTAGGAAGTTTAATGTTCGCTATGATATGCACATGACCAGACATTGCACAAGAAGTGGGAGTGGTTAGTCGGTACATGGCGAATCTAGGCAAAGAGCATTGGAATACAATAAAGAGGATCCTGAGATACATCAAAAGGACCTCAAATGTTGCATTATGTTACGGAGGATCAAACTTACTAATCAATGGGTATGTAGATTCTGACTATGCAGATTTGGATAAAAACAAATCGACTACAGGATATGTGTTCAAAGTTGCTGGTGGAGCTGTAAGTTGGGTTTCAAAATTGCAGTCAGTTGTGGCTACATCCACAATAGAGGCATAATATGTAGTAGCTACATAAGCCAGTAAAAAAGCAATTTGGTTGAAGATGCTATTGGAGGAGCTTGAGCACAATCAAGACTATGTCTCTTAGTTTTGTGATAGTCAAAGCGCCTTGCATCTAGCAAGGAATCCAACATTTCATTCAAGGACAAAGCACATACGAGTTCAATACCATTTCATTCGTGAAAAGGTGGAAGAAGGAATGGTAGATATGTAGAAGATCCATACCAAAGACAACATTGCAGATTTCATGACGAAGACGATCAATGCTGATAAATTTACTTGGTGTCTATCCTCTTGTGGCCTGTCAGAGACGTAAGCAACATGATGGTACAAGGTAGAAAGAATGATGTGAAGATATGATTGTTCTAATCAAATCTTCAAGTGGGAGATTGTTGAAAAGTAAACAAGTTGCCAAGCCACTTTCGGTGAAATTTGATAAAGGGATAATCATAATTAATCCCTGAACTTTAGAGTATTTATAAGATTAATCCTTAAGCTTCAACTATAAATACCCTAGCTCATTTAGCTTCAAAATAATCCCAAATCATTATAGCTTTCTCCCAATACTAGAGAATTTAGAGAGTTTCTTGAGAGTTGTTTTCTCATTTTTATCAATAGAGAATTATCATTGTTTTCTCATTGGTAGATCGAAAGAGATTGTAATTCCTATTTTCTCATAGTGAAATTCTTCTACCGTTGCCCGTAGTTATTACCCTATATTATTTAGGGGTTTTCCACGTAAAATTTGTGTCTTCTTTATCTTTATTTTTATTTTCTCAAATTATCAGTTGCGATTTTGCTCTATCCGATAGTCGTCTTCCGCAACATATGGTTCATCCAGCCGAAACTGCAAAGGAACCAAGTTGGTGTAATCTCTTCGAACTAGGAGTCAAACATGCTTTATTGGTAGGGGTGGGGATTCAAATACTTCAGCAGGTAATGAGGAGAGATTCTTCTCCTTATCTGCTTGTTCTATTAAAAAAGGCACAAATGACCCTTCTAGCTCGTGCATGCAGAAATGTCAAGTATTCTTTATTATCTTCTTATTTTGCATCTTAAATCGCTTTCCTATTGTGCTGCATTACATCCTGCTTGGCTGTTCTAAGAATGCTGTATCAGTTTATAGAAACATGTATTTCTAGCAAAGAAATCACTATCCTGTTCAAACCGTAAGAAGTAAAATCCATGGAATAGAACACATTCCACTGCTAGAGATACCGGTACTTTTTCGCTTTTGTAGCAGAATCCTGTGTAATCTTAGACACTGCATTTTTTGAAACGGCTGGATTACTTGCTTATTGAGGATCCTTGTTTTCTCTTCTTTTAAAATGCAGTTCTCTGGTATAAACGGCGTTCTATACTACACTCCCCAGATTCTTGAACAGGCAGGAGTAGGGATTCTTCTGTCTAACTTGGGCCTCAGTTCATCTTCTGCATCGCCGCTTATCAGCGGCATGACAACCTTGCTGATGCTTCCAAGTATAGCTGTCGCCATGCGGCTTATGGATCTTGCTGGTAGAAGGTAAATTTTTTCCTTTACTCAATTTCCTTGGGGTGCGAATCAGTCTCATCCGTAAGCATAAGATTTCGGTTTCCAAGAGGAAATCAAATATTTTGGTTGAACCGAAATTGCATAACATCTGTTCTTAGATCCTTCCTTTGGCATAAATTGCTGGTAGTGTCTCAAATGCGTAAATATTAGGATAGAAAAAAAGATGTGATTAGCTAGCTTTGTTACTTCTATTTTGTGATTTCATTAGACGATACCGTGCCTGCAATCTGACCTTGATCTATTCTCGTCTCCCCTTCTGTTGCAGGAGTTTGCTACTCAACACACTTCCTGTCCTGATAATATCTCTCATCGTCTTAGTCATTGGAAGTGTTGTCAAAGTGGGGAGCGTTGTGCACGCCTCAATCTCGACCGTTAGTGTCGTGCTATACTTCTGTTTCTTCGTGATGGGATTCGGGCCGATCCCCAACACTCTGTGTTCCGAGATTTTCCCAACACATGTTCGTGGCATCTGCATTGCTATATGCGCGCTTACATTTTGGATCGGTGACATCATCGTCACGTACTTACTCCCGATGCTACTGAAATCAGTGTGTCCAGCGGGGGTCTTTGGCATGTACGCAGTCGTATGTGCCATAGCATGGCTGTTTGTCTTCCTAAAAGTTCCGGAAACCAAAGGCATGCCTCTCGAAGTCATTACAGAATTCTTTGCAGTTGGTGCACAGCAGGCTTCAGCTACCAAGGACAACTGAGTTTGGTTATTTCTTCAATTTTTATGGATACTGAAAGGTTTGATTTTTGTTCAAGTTTTATCCCTTTCATTCAAGTAGGCAGTTTGATGATTTGTTATGTACAACAAGCAAAAGGAAATTTTGCATTTCTCTATTTTGTCACATTTTATAAATGCCAGGAACATTACTTTTACACTGTTTCTTTAGAATCATACCGCTTTATGTTATCCCGATTCGTGCACGGAGAAGTCGGGAAAGTCTTGTGCTCGAAAAACGCAGAAGCCGGTTCTCTAGAACTGGCAGTGAAACCTGATTATTTCCTTTCATGGAAGATGTCAATCTCTATCTTCCCTGATCTGTAAGTTCATACATTCTCTTTATGATAACCATTAGGGGGACATACTCTCTCGCTTTCTTTTCGAGTTGCTTTGAGATCTTTCGACCTTTTTATCAACGAATGACAGACATGCTCTAAGACGTGCAGAATAGGATCTGTCACGACTTTTAGAATCAGGTTCCTCGGGGCAATGCCGACTGAACTGGCGAAAGATCATCAGAAAGTACACGAGGATAGCGAGAATACATGCGGTTCCGCATATAAGGAATAGTCCCCAGAAGCTTTTTAAGTCCAGCTCCTCTGATTCATCCTCTGATTCCTCAGAACTACAAGCACTTCTCGACAGCCATTTTTCATGAATTTTCTGAAGCTCGCCGTTCTCAGATAGAGCAAGGATGGCAGTAGACATGTCAATGGCTAGTGGGGAGTCTCGAGGAAATGCCTAAAGAAAACCATTTGCCGGAGATCAGTTTCCGTTTATGACAAACTAGGCAACTTAAAAGAAAAAGAAGAATTAGCCTCATATAACTCACAAATCCCCAACCGCGTTTGGTGAACTCCTGCCCTCGAACCGATAATTCACAGTGGTCCGAGAGGAAGAGATCCATGTATGGTCGCTCATCGACTATTGCAGCTACGGTTCTCTTCTCAAGGGCTTCTGCATATTCTTCAGGTGAGCCAAGTGGAATAAGTCTAGACCTTGGAATATTCAGTTCATTGATCAGATAGTTTTTGGCAAAAGATCCGACTTGGAAGCCTATTGGTTCGGTAATACTAGTCAAAGACTCGATTCCGTTGATAGGTGATGATAACTGTTGCACGGTGAGGATCGATGTAAGGCTTGCACTGTAGCTTGAATTGATTATCAGAACTACGAAAAGCCAGATGATCAGCACAAGGCGTCCAAGCGTGCTCACTGTATTTTCTCCTGAAATTTTCAAAAAGTCATGTTGGTTCGATACCACGACGGGCATCGCCCATTCTAAGTTATGAATTACTCGTAGAAAGTAGATCGAAAAGGAAGGAGCTTACTATGGGCAAAAAACATGGTAGAGAAGCTGAACCTGTGAGGGTCAAATGTAAAGAGATGCAATCAGATCGTCTTGCAGAAATGAATTGCTACAAGCTAATGCAATAAGAAAAAGATGAACTTCATGTCTATGTACTCACGTTAAAATTGTGACAATTTGCTGCCCAGGAGGTCCCCGGAATTCATCGTTTATTCGATGCTCAAGGATCCACACAACCGATCCGACAATAACGAAAAATGCTGCTGTGACTGCCCACATGGATGGAGTAAATGGCCGTGCAAAGGACCAAGGGCTCGAACGTATTCTTTTTACCGGAGCTACCACGACCAGCCCCGATTCTATATATGGCTGAGTGAAATCTACTATTCTTGTTCGGTCTGTTACAATGGCGATATCACCTACTGCGCCATCAAAGACCTACAAGAACAAAGTATCAGAAACTGATCATTTTTTATCATTTAAGAAACCAGTTGCACTTTTCGTTCTGGTATACTTACACCGGCTTCGATTTTACTGACAAGCTCATGGTAGCTTGGGTTCTTATGGCCATCTCCGAATGGAATGAACCTGTACGGAACAGCGTATGGCATCGATTTAATTGCAGCAAGAAATACATCTATACAATACCCTTGCACCTTATCTGTGCCATTGACTATCGAGACAAACTCTCGGAAACTAACTCGATTCGGAACTCCGATTCTTAATTCTCTTCCGTTGTTCGGAAATACCCAACCCCGGGGCCTTGTTGTTCCTCCTCCAGGCCACACCACACGATCTAAATGTTGGTTTGAACTAGAACGATTAGGCCTTTTCCCATAAAACGTCTCAGGTGGCACGACGGAAAGGCCGGAGTGGTTAGACCAGAACCCTATCTGTTGATACCCGGTTTTAACTACATTAATAACGTCATAGGAAGGATTTATCAGGGATCTGTCTTGATCAAACTGAACAGGACCTGTCAAACCAGTCATATTAGTTTCTATTATGTTATTAAGCAACTGCTTCCCGCCATCAAATATACTTAATGCGGAAAGATTCAGATCCGTTCCACCAGCATCGGTTAATCGCGCATCGTTCGAAAACGAAATGTTGGCGCCCAGATCAAGGAAGGACCTTACTGCACGAGCTATCATCCAGACGGTATCATATGCATAAAGACCATAGGAATTAAGCCCAACAGAGCCATTACTCAGCTGGTTCCAACGAGAAATGAAGACCCTTTTCCTTTCCGAATCAGGCGTATGAAGGCGAAGCGTAAGTGCTCCTCGGATCGAGTTCGCTGTCTCGGGTTTAAGTGGGGAAGTTGAATCTAAAACAGTGGATAGCCAAGTAGAAGCTATCCAAACATATCCTTTCCCCATCATTCCAAGGCCCTTGGCCACTTCAAAGACCAGGAGACCCGTCTTCGAGAAAGTGTGCAACACAATAACCCGAGACTCCATCATCCGAACCTTAGTTAATTCTCTCCGAACATCACTACTCGTTGCTGTCTGGTCAGGCGGAAGTACGGCTTTATAAGAAATCCTGCAACGTCTCTCAGCGAGTTCATCGTCTAACGTAACTATACCATTTCGGTTTTGATCATCATCACTGAAAACAGCAATCACATCAGTCCAACCAAAATAACTAATCATCTCAGCAACGGCAATCATCTGGAACACGTCATTAGGCGCCGTTTGAACAAAGAACGGGAACTGGAGAGGCGACAGGCTGGGATCGAGGGCCGTGAACGACAACAATGGAACATGAAGTTCATTTGCAAGATGTGAAAGAACATGTGCCAGCATTGAACTTTGAGGACCAATTATTGCTACCGTATCAGTCTCCATAAACTGCAATGCTGTGAACACCAAACAAATTGAAAGCATACAACATGAACATCTGTAACGTTAGACAAAAGCGCTATTATTTATTCTGATTCACTGTAAACATAGAGATCCCGGGATCGGACATGAGCGGAATTAACCGAACATATATGGAAAAAAGGAGGAGACTGAAGAGTATACCGCCGATAATGCCGAGAAACGAGCTGAAATTTGAATCATGGAGGGCAATAGACAATCTCCTTCCACCAAGAATGCTTGGATCAGAGTTTATATCATTCTCAGCAGCCTTCATTGCAATCTTTGCAACTTTCCCATTGATTGTGCTAAATGAGAAAATAGCTCCAACATTCACAACATCAGGCTTCAAAGCCTCTTTTGAAAACACTCCAACAAAGAGAATGAAAATCGATAGAAGCAAAACCAGGTTCATGGTGATGAGCAGCAAACAGAGAATGAACAAATACTCGACTCGGATACTCAGATTTTGTTCCGAGGCGAGTACCAACACTAACAAAACCTAAAGGCAAAGGTGGAAGAGACCGTAAAGCGTTCAAAGGATTTCAGTTCAGTAGAGTAAATCTCACAACAGAATAAGACACCCATTTCAAGCTGTGGCATGGGAAACTAAAGAGCAATGACTAAAGCCAACAGCATGAAGCTTCACGGTTCAAAAATTTTAAAAGAAGATACAAAAAAAAAAAAAAAAAAGCAAAGAAAACATGGAATTGCGTACTTTTTAGACACCAAAAATGGAGAAACCAGCCATCAAAAGCAGCAAAAAGCAAAAGTTGAGGCGGTTTCAGAAATTATGATCAGAGAGCAAGTGTTCGATGATGGGAAATTATGGTCCAAGAGAATGGCTTTGAAATTATGGTCACTGATTCACTCGTAACTTTTAAGATTGATGTTAAACTTCATCTTATAAGCAGTCTCATTATAAGAATCTCTCTTTCAAACACGGTTTGGTATTAGGATGGATCACTCTTGCTTGAATGATAGATGTAAGCATAGAAGAACATAAATCGAGCGAAAAATATCATACATAAATTTTTTTTAGCCATTGTTTTGAATCGAATGTTTTTTTTTTCTTTTTGGATTAATTACCAGGGGTAATATATGTTTTAGACTCTCAATCATTTGATAATGAATGTCCAAATACCTTACAATTGCTAGTGCTCAAAACCATGACTTCTAAAAATAACAAGAATTCTTTTAACCTCTAAGATAGCTTGACTCATACCTTTGAATCTGTTGTTAAAAATTAAAATATAATTTTCTCGCCATTGAATACATTAGATTTTCATCAAATACATCGAGCTACCGTCGATTACGTTAACTTTATTAGATGGAAAAATTACAGATGTGAAATTGGGTAATCGTTCAGGTTTCAGTCGGATTCTCAAGTCATGTAAAATCAGATATATGTCGTGTTAGGTTAATTTGATGGTTCAACTTAGATCAGTTCGGGTCATTTTCTGATTGATTTGACATCAGATTCAATTCGCATTCGGATCAGGTTAATTTCAGTTCGGTTCGATGCCAGTTCAAGCCAAAACGATTTAAGTCTGAATCAATTAAATACCAGGTTAATTCATGTTCAGATGGACTTCAGGTCAGATCTCGTTCAAATAAGGTCATATCATTGACAAAAGAATTCAGGTCGGATCTTACTGGATATAGATTGCCTTCAAGTCGGGTCATTTTTGGGTTAATTATTTTTCGCCTTTCATGAACGACGAAATGTAATTTGTAATTGTATATGATTTGAAGTAAATTACAAAAAATATAAATAACTATGGGTCAATTTTAATAAAAATATAATTTTAAGGACTAAATTGAACAAACATGAAATTACAAATTGAAATTTAAATAAATTAAACAAAGACACATGAATGAGGGATCAAATCTAAATAATTATAAAATGTTAAGTTGAAATTAATATAAAATAGACTAAATTGAATCCATTTAAAAACTTTGTGAATAAAAGTTTATAGAGTTTGGAGATTATGATATACTTTATAGAGTGTGAAATGAAGTTTATTATGTGATTTATTGGGTTTGAAGTAAATTATAAAAATATAAATTATAGAGACGCATTTAGTGGGACAGATGAAGTATTAATTATCATAGTTTATTATAAATTCAAAATCTCACATTTCATCAATTGTAACTTATAAGTCAGGTAAATATCAAATTAGTTCAATAACAAGTCAGATGATTTACAATTTGAGTCAATTACAAGTCGGATTCATAGCAGGTCGGGTAATAACAGTTGTTTAACAGATTAATCTCGAGTTCAGGTTCATATTAGTTGAACACAGGTCGGGTTCGGTTATCATATTATCCCTTAAATTCGGGTTCGGTTATCATATTATCTCTTAAATTTGGGTTTGATTTTCATATTATCCCTTAAATTCGGGTTCAGGTCGTTCTTAGATTGGGTGCAATTCAAATTCAGATCCACATTTTCTAATTCCAACTCGGGTTCAGGTCAACACCAATTTGGACTCGAATCAATTTTGGATCACCACCTTCTCGAGTCACAAACAGTTTTAACTCAAGTCGATTTCAGTTAATTTTGCAAATCGGGTCAGCTTTTTACATTCCTAGAAAAAATGAAAACAATTAAGATTTATTTTATAACAAGAAAAACAGTGAATACATATTTTTAGCAAAACAATCTTTAAATACCAAAAATCAATTTAAAATATAATTTTATAACTTAAAAATGTATTAATTCTAAAAAAAAAAAATTCACCCCGCGAATCATATATTCACAACGGTTCCTATGAACACCATGTAACATAATCGTAATATGAAGAGATAGTAGTAGAAATGTGAGGATAAACCCATGAAGCCCACGAAGAATTAAAACAATCAATATTTTTACACTTGATTCATATTATTTTAATGAAAACACATTAAATTTGTAATTATTTGATTATAACTATTCTTAAATGATACATGATGAGTTTAATTACACAACGGATCTTTTAATTGTCTTTTTTGGTCGACGATGATATCAACTTTAATATTAATTGTCGATCGTTGATATTTTTTATTGGTTTTTTCTTTTTATATTATATCTTTTATTTATTTTTTTATTTTTAATAAATCTGCATGTATTACATGTTTTCATAAGTCTTTATGACACGTTTTCTTATGCTTTTTGGTATATTTTTCGGTTCTTTGACAGTTTTTCATTTATCATTTTTCTAAAGGTTGATTTGACATCGCTACGACTGATCAAGATAATGCTTATATGATATCTTGTGATCTTTCCTGCTTTGGACCCTCGAATTGGATTTGGATACCCGATTTACGTTCGTTGATAGCTTTTGATGTTGCTCGATTCTGATTTACGGTTTGTCGGTGGTCTTTCTATTGCTTGATCTCTTTTTGTGGTTCGTTTGCTGATGCGATCAGATCTGTTTGTATCATCTTTATTCGAGTTTATTGGTTAGTTTAATCTTTCATTGTATGATCCTTATGTGATATTTTATAGGAATTTTTTTAATTATGTGTTTAATTTACGATTATAATTATAAATCTTTATTGTAATTTGGAATATTTCTTATTTTTAGTATAATTTATTGTTTCTATAAAAAAATACAATACATTCGAATTATTATAAAAATGATTAATTTTATAGATCAAGAGACGTCACTTTTAATCCATTAATCATAATTTTTAGGCTAAATAATTTTTTTATTAAGCTAATTATGTGTTTTAGTAGATATATTGATTTTAAATAAAGTTCTCTTTTTCAAAACGCAGAATCAACAGGTGACACTTATGAGTAACCTTCGTTTTCAAGTAGATTTCCGGTGTGATTTTAGGATTTTCAATAATTTGAAAGGTTGTGATTTTAAGATTTCTTATTTTTGATACAATTTTAGGGCATATTTTGAGTAAACTTTTAGAATAATATCAATGATTAAAAATCTTATATAAAATCAGTAATGGAGTATATATATATATATAGGAACAACGTGATTGTATGTGTGGATTGCGAACTTAAAAAGTTACGAGTAAATTATATTAATGGTCATTAATGTTTGATTGAGTTTTTATTTTTCTATTGAAGTTTTAAAAGTAATAGATTGGTCACTAACGTTATTAATTTGTAACAAAATGATCAATAACATTATCGATTCATAAAGAAATGGTCACTCCACTATTATCTCTATTAAATTGATGATGTGGCAAGGTGAATAAAAAGCCTTATATTTAGTTTTACCCCCTAAAGTACTGTGAAAATATCAAATAGGTCATTAGAAAACGAAAACATCCCAAAAGTATTATTTTATATCTAATTTATCCCAAAAGTATTATTTTATATCTAATTTATCCCAAAAACATTATAATTTTCATTTTTTTAAACATCATATCATCTCAATTATATTCTAATTACTTTCCTCACTAAACAAAAACATCCCAAAAGCATTATTTTTTTACATTAAAATTAATTGAATATATAACTTTATGTACTCGTATATTTTTCTTTAATGGAAACCCTTCGTTTTCCGTGCAATGTGGTTTTCATTTTTTCATAACCATTTTTAAAATAATAATTAATATTATCATTTTAAAAAAATAATTATAACTTTATTAAAAATTGATGATTTTGAATTATTTTAGATGGGAGTCGCCATTGACCTTTAGGTTAGGTAGGTCAAATACTTAAAACGTCTTTTAAAACAATTTTAAGAAAAATCGTTTTTATAAGACAAATATTGGTATACGTTTACCAAAAATTCGATTTAACGAGTTCGAGAGTCGGTTACGCGTGGGGAAGGATAAACACCTCACAGTGCCTAAAATTGGTACTTAGTTGCTTATAGCATGTCATAATGGTGGAACTTAAAATTCGAATCAAAATTAAAATTATGATCTATATATTGAATATTAATTAAATTCCTCTGAATTAATTAATTAAAGAAATTTTTTTAACTTGATAAGAAATATCGAGATTCACAATACTCCATCGAGAAAACTATCTTACCTATTTCTTATATGTAAAGAATTCGTTTTTCTATAACATACGTCATTAATACAAACATTTAAATATAACAAAATAAAATCAAAATTAAAACATTAAACATTATGAAAATAAAATAATAATAATAAAATAAATAAGATAAAATAAAATAAAAATATAATGATTTTAATAAATTCATATAAAAGGATTCGCGCTTTCAAGTTCATATTTCGTTTGAATGTCGTATCGGATTGCACCACTTCGATCAAATGGTACTTTCCACGCCCATTCTACAAATAAAGTTCTTGAAAATAATTTTGAGTGGTATATATATATATATATATATATATAAGGGAAACATTGAATATCAAACGAATTAAAACATAACTAAGCTTAGCAACAATATCCTAAATTAATTAAAATTTATTATAATAATAAATTACCTATTAAGTAATATATATATATATATATATATATATATATATGACATAATAATAAGCC